GGGATGATGTGCTCAGCCCTGCTAACGCCAAAAATATAACGAGCGCATGAGTTAAAGACTCCGCTCCCGAGACGCATCTAGAGACACCACCAAGCAGTGATCCAGATGCGGCTGGATCAATATACGAAGCGCAAATTGTGCACACTTTGATGACCTTTCTCGGTGGAGAGAGGAGAGAGAGAGAGAGAGAGAGAGAGCTGGGAAAAAGAGAGAAAAAGATGTAATAATGCTGAATGGAGATTGTTCTTCTCTAGCGACGACGCGTATACTGTCTGAAGTCTTGAGTAAACGTTCATGCGAATTTCCAGTGCTCGCTGACTATTTGCCGGCGAAATCGTCGACTTCTCAAACTCACCGAGGAAAGCGGTACCTATGCGGAGTTGGCGCTGATAAATTCCCAATTTCCAGAATAACGACCCGCCTTTTCCGCATTTTTTCATCCGTTCAACGCGCGATCGAGTTGGACTGGCGGCAACACAGCGGCTGAACGGGCTGTCGGGGCGGCGCCGTGAAGCATGGAATCGTCGGCGCGAGGCTGCGTCACTGGCTTGGTCTACGAACGGCAGCGAGCGAGAGCAGAGAGAGAGAGAGAGAGAGAGAGAGCCGCGAGCGCGGCGTCCGTGCGCCCGCCTCGCACATGGCTCGCGGAGTTTCCGCGCATCGGACCGGAAGCAGTTAGTCGGGGCGTCTCTCTAGGCGCGTTATATATATATTCGCGCGCGTGCGAGCGGCGAGCGCGAGCGAGCGGCGCTGTCTCGGGTAGCGGTGGCGGCGCACGAAAATATCAGCGCTGGTTTCGCAATCGGCCGACTGTTTGGTTCTTCGCCGGGTTTAATATAGAACGCGAGCGCGCCGCCGGTTAGAGACGGAGCGAGCGAGAGACGCGCGCGCGGCGGAGAGCACGAGGCGAAAACATCGGCTCGGCGCGCTCCACCAGCGCGATACCGCGGCTCCTCACCGCGGACTTGTGACCGGAGATAGGCCGCTCGCTGGCTCGCCGTCGGCCGCTATCCGGCCGATGATCGGCTCGCGTCGCCGCGAGGAAGCTGACCCCTGATAACGGGCGTGGCAAGGCCATCGGCGCGGCGCTCGGCCATTGCGGACGCCGACACTTCCTCGCGCGACGCGACGCACCGCGACGCGCCGCGGCCGATTGCGCCGGGCGCTGGTGAGCTGCCGCGGAGATACCGAGCGACTCGCTCTTGGCCGATTGAGTAACCGCGCCATACACTCTCGCTGTATCGCCGCGCGCATTTTGGGATGAAGCGCCTATTTGGAAATATGTTGTGCACGACACGCCGGCGGAGAAAGTCTACGATAAAGGCCCGAGACTGGCTTGATAAGGCCCGTGCGACGTCATCGGCCAATTCACATGCTCGTCCGGCCGCCTCGCGCTCCAGTCTGCGCAGCGCCGTAGATACCGCGATCGCGCAGCGATAAGGGGCGGCGTCGCGCGACCCACTTCCCCAATCTCGCGGGCTGATCGTCGTCGCCTCGTTCTCGAGCACGCTCGCGGGAAACCGTGCGCGGAGAGCAGCTGTGGCGACGACCGCGGATGGCACTGAAGAGCAGGCGGCTGCGGCCGCGTGGAAGGGGTAAACTACTTCCGGTCTCGTGACACCGGCGGCGGCGACGGCGACGGCGGCAACCCACCAGCCAGTTGTTTTTCTTTCTTCTTATTCTTGGCCCGCCAACGCTTCTCCTCTGCCACTCGCTCGCGCCTCCGACACTCAATAACTTCATTCTGCTCTCGGCCAAGCTTTTTGCGCCCGCGGCGTGGCGCGCAGGTGTGTCGCGCTCGCGAGAAAGCGCGTAGGACGTCCGGCACTCAGCGAAAGGCGTAGGACTCGGCGGCGCGGCCGCTGGAAATAGGTGAAGTCGAAGGCAAAGATAGAGTCGGCGCTCGCGCGCGAGCGAGCGAGCGAGAGAGAGAGAGAGAGAGAGAGAGAGAGAGAGAGAGAGAGAGAGAGAGAGAGAGAGCGACAGGCGAAGGGAGAGAGGAGCTCGCCGCCGTGGGAAACTGGCAGCTCAACGAGCACGCTCTCCTCTCTCTCGATTCTATTTTATACCGAGCCGTGCCTCTGCCTGCCTGCACACACTTCCGCCCTCAGCTTTCGCGCCGACTGCTGCTGTTCTCTTGCTCCGTGATAGCCGTACCCTTCGGTCGCTCTTCTCTGCTTTTAGTCACGCGCTTCCAACCGGCTGCTTTCTTCTCTCTCCCTCTCTCGGAGGGTCTTCGCGAAGCTGCCCGAGACGACGGTGTGCGACGAGCGCAGATTGGAATTTCTTTTTTTTTTTCGGATTGCGCAGCCTTGACCGAACGAAGCGCTCCCGCCGTTGACGGACAACCGATGGATTACTGAGCGCGACGATCCGTTGAAATCCAATTGAAAGAGGAGAAGACAGACGGACTCGATGACGAATCGAAGTCGAACCGCTCGTACTTCGGAGCTGCTAAGTTGCGCCTACTATTGGCGTAACAATCAATGTAAACAAATCCATCCGGAGAATCAATTTTGTCATCGAATCGCCTGTCGTCCGAGTGCCCGTCAAATCGTCAACGAACGGCGCGGCAAATTGACGGCAGAGATTTCGCAAGAAGCGGATTATTACCAGGACGCTCGGGCCGCCGTCGGGGCGAATGATTTATCGACGTCCAACGCGGACGCGCCGATCGCCGTTACTGTCGCGCGTTACACGCTCGAGAAAGAATTACGCGCGAGGAGGTGCAATTTTTGAGACTAATGTTTAGCCTCGCGTAAGTCGTGACGCGTCCGACGGCGAGGATAGAGTGAAAAAACAGCTGCTTCCAACGTTTTCATCGCGCCCATTCGTGCGATCGGAATTACGAGACTCCGATCAGAAAATTGATTTGGAGTTGCATCGAATTTTTCCCATCCTACGAAAGAGCCTTCAATTCGCCGAAATCACAATAGTGACGGCGGGTGAAAGAAAAGAGAAGAGAATACACTTTACATATCTTCGATCGAAAATCGAACTCCGAACCGTAACTACCTAAATAAGCGGAGTATATATCATAGCTCGGCGATCTAAATGCATCGGTTATAAGGCAAGAAAGCGAGAGAGAGAGAGAGAGAGAGAGAGAGAGAGAGAGAGAGAGAGAGAGAGAGAGAGAGAGAGTCCCTCCTACACTCTTATAGCGGAGGGCCTTTTTAGCTTAGTTCGCGGAAGGCAAAGCCATTCCCTCGAAAGGATCTCTTTCATCGTATATAGCCAAAACCGCTTCCTTTCTCCGCACGAGCATTTTATTCTGCTGCGCCAGTGTCACCTCCAGAGTCTTATTCGGACCTAGTTTTTTTTGTGCTACATAGACAGCACTATGTCGCCCATTGTCTCTTACACTTCCGGAAGCTCTGTCTACGTGGAAATTTGGCTTCGCGGTAAATTCTCCTTTTCTTTCGCTGCGGCGGCAGGAATTTTTAGTGCGAATACATCGCATCCGTTTCGATGCTTTGCTGTTATACCGAGAATCTTGTCCTTCTTTCGTTGCTCTTTTTTTGGAGAGGGGGGGGGGCAAGGCACGATGGTCACGTTGATGATTTAGAAGGGCTGTGCTCGCCGTGTCAACCGATGCAATTATCACTACTCCTTTCCACATCCAAAGAACGAAATATGGATTACGCGCGCGTTCCCGTTTGCAATTGCAGGTTTTCGAACGTCGTTCACGCTGATTGCGACCCATAGACTCCGCAACATTGACAGCGTCCAATCGAAGGCAAACAGTCTCGACGGAAGAAGCTGCGATAATTCGCGGCGCGCGCGATCCGAGCGGAACGCATCCCGTCGTAAAAAAGCTGTCTCGATCGCAATCAAAAAGCGCATCGGATGACAAAAAAGACAACTGCAGAAATCGGTTAGGAAGCGTCCAGCATTGATCGCGCGAGTATCAGAGTGTATACTCCGCCGTTCGGTCGTCTCAACAGTCGCTCGGCCGCTGCTATAAAAGGGAGGCTGTGTGCATTAGATCGGTCGCCGCTGCTGCCTCGTCGGCGGCGGATGCAGTCCGTTCGGCTAACTGGCGTTTCCGGTCATCGCCTCTCTCTCTCTCTCTCTCTCTCTCTCCCTTGCCCCTGCGCTCTGTTTTTCCTCGCTCTCGCCACCGAGCATATTTCGTGAAGCGGCTTTTGCTGCACCTCGATATTGCGTACGGATCAGCGTCACATCCGCTCTGAAAAACAGCGCGCTCGAGCGCCAACTTCCGTTGGCAGCGGGCAAAGAGAGGAGTCTGCGCGTGTACGTGTGCGTGCGAGTCGTCGACTTCTCTCCTTCTTCTCCCTCGTCCTCTTTGACTCGCTTCCTTTTTTTCCTCTTCCCGAGCGGACGGACGGTGAAGGTTATTCTGCAGCGCGCGCGAGCAGTTGGACTCCCGGGAAATCGTCAATGAAATGCTGCACTGCTGCTAGGCTTGTTTATTTATTTATTTTTTTTTTTTATTTTTTCCTGTCCAGCACCGGATTTCTTTCCTTTTGCGAAGCCAACGTCCGACAAAACTGCACCTTTGCCGCCGGATAGTTGTGGAAAAGGAAAGGCGAGGAGCGGATGAGAGCCTATTTGCTTTTTTTCCACCAAATCTGTCTCCGTCTGCTTAGCTGTTTTCGACGCGAAGGAAGGATGCATGGGCCAGACTTGCCGCGCGAAATCATTGAAACTGCAGCGCAGAGCGTAAATCCATTACCACAGCCATCTAATTCAAGCACGATTAATTTCGAGACGCGGGCGTTTCCGCTGCACCGTTGCTGCGGCTGCCTCTTCAAAAATCACACATCTACTGGAAGACCGACACCACCCTCTTTCTTGGGATACCTGCTTCAGCTTCTTCGTTTTTGACGAGATGATTGATGTGCGCTCGAGTAAAGTTTCAAAAAATTTTTAGTGACACGCGAACTTTGAAAAACCTGGAAACGTGTGACTATAATAGGAATAGGTGTAAGTCTCATGGGTACATGTAATACCACAAGTATGATTTATAATTTTTTCTCAAATATATATATTTACAAGACATATACAGAGCGTGTGTAGGCCTTATACAGTTAATTGAAAGGGTATGCCATAGTTTTCACCTTTCGATTGTTGGCGAGTCACTTCCTCTCTCTCTCTCTCTCTCTCTCTCTTTCTAATACATACATACACACACACACATACACACACACACATTCGTTTTTCTCGACACTCTCAATATTCATTTACACATACATACACAATTACATTTACGTGTGACATACAAGCGACGCGCGGGTCGGGCTAACCCCGTTGATTAGCGATATACTTTCTTTCAGCTTCTTTGTGACGGCATTATTATTTATTATTATTATAAACGACAGTCGTCTTGTTTTACTTTATATTCTGCTTCGCGCACACACGCACTAACGATACAAGTTTTTAGTTAACGAAAATCCTTTTAAAAGTCGGGTTGTACGTTGTGGAAACCCCGTAGCTTGTGTGTGCAGAGCAAAGTCGTGATACGGTATAGTGTAAATTGGTTTGTATTACATCAAGAGAACAACAAAATAAAGAAAAAGACTAAAACAAACAAAAAAATCAGTGCTGAAGGAATGGAATTTCTTTTTTCTTTCTTTGTCTTCTCTCCTCGTTCCTCTTCGTAAAAATCGGCGAACTTACGCTCTAGTTTAAAATATTTTTTTCTCTCGTGCGTGTATGTATGTGTGCGCGTGTGTTTTTGTTTGATTTGTAAAGTGTGCTCGCTGCTTGTTTTCTCTCTCCTTCGCTTTCAGATTTTCTGCGCGGGAATTCGGTACGCGCAATCGTCGAATTCCAATGCAGAAGAGTGAGAGAGAGAAAGAGAGAAAGGAAAAGAGAGAGAGAGAGAGAGCAACGCGAGAAACTGATATCGTTTTATCGTGTACACATGCAACGCTTGATGATTGATTGACTCTTTGCCTTCTCTTTCACTCGATTCACCCTTTTCCCGACTTGAGTAGCAAGTTCGTCGTTTTCGCTTCGTACATTTTGTTATGATTCCTGTCTGCCTTCACGACATATTCGCGCGCATGTGTTCGTGTGTGTGTGTGTTCGTGTGTATTTTTATATTCCAATCGATAAGAAAGCCTTTTCCGCGGTGACAAAAAAACTCGTTCGCAAGACTAGATAATACTGGAAAAATTAATAAAGTCAAAAAAAAAAAAAAAAAAACAGGCACTCTCATTCTTTCTCACATTCTCTGTCTATGTATAAATGTTTTGTCTTTCTCTCTCTAGCCCATCGATTAATAACGTGCTTACAATATGCTTTCTTTTTCTGTGAAAATGAAAAAAAAAAACGTTCAATCGACCGCGAGGACCGAGTGCTTACAAAATTTTCATCGTGTATGGATCATCATCGTCTTCGTCGTCGTCGTCGTTGTTTGTTTGTCGCAATGCCTTTTGCAAGCCGTTCGCTTGTCGTGATTGTTGCGCGGCGCAACAACACGATCGAAGACAGAGACCAAAGAATTATTATAATAGTAATAATAACGATAATAATTACGAGATAATAATAATATACGATAGTAATAATATTATAATAGTAGTAGTAGTTATAGTAATAAAAAATAATATTTTTCTCAACGAAAAAAAGAACGTATGTCGTATCGGTCCTCGGGCTTTCATAATAGTGACGTACGTACAACACCGCACCTCTCTCGCTGTATGCTTTTTTTTACTTCCTCGCACTCACGCGCTCGTTCGCTCGTTCGCAATTGCAATGCGACCAAAAAAAGTTTAATAGAAAACAAAAGAAAAAGAAAGTCGTCGTCGCGCCTGCCTCTGTGCCTTCTCTCAGTATTAGTTGTTCATTTTTCTGGAGTATGCGCGTATAACTATGTTCTTTGAATGTATACGTGTTTGTCGTGTGCGTGCGTACGTGCGTGTGTGTGTGCGTGCGTGTGTGTGTGCGTGTGTGTGTGCGCGTGTGTATACCCGCGATAACGCCCACGAATAAATAAACTGTAGAAAAGTGTAATCTTTATACAAATGTAATATACAATATATATTTTTAGTTCTTCCATCTTTCTTCGAAATATAGTTATTATTTATATATGTATAATAATATAGAGCTATCTATCCAGAGCGACAGTCACTCTCACTCTCACTCGCGTTGTTTTATTATTTTCCTCAATGATAACAAAAAAAGTTGAAAGAAAGGAATAAAGAGGCTTTTCCTCTTCGTTCTTTCCGCATTTTCGACGAGTGTCCTTCTTCTCCACAATAAATAAAGCACTTGGTTCAAAAATAAAAATCGTTCGTGTAAATGCTGTGTAGAACTTGGGTCGGTTTCGCGGGGAGTCGGCTTATGGCAAGCACATCCCCGTCATCGGAAAAGAAAAAAAAGTAAAAACAAGAGTTGAAGTTAGAAAGCGCACAACACCAATGACACAGAGTGCCGCGTTACGAGGACTCCGGGGCGAGGAGCCTCTTCTCGCCGAGCTCGGGCTGCTCGCAGCTGCAGCCCTGGCCGGCGTGCTTGGCGTAGCCGGCCTCGCAGAGGGCGACGCAGCCGCGGAGCGGCCAGTAGCAGAGCAGGCAGGGCAGCACCAGCGCCAGGGCCGACAGGCAGCTCCATCTGGCGAGGCGCCTGGGCCCGACGCAGCTGCAGGGCTCGTCGGCGCAGGCCGTCGCGTCGTCGCTGCCCGCCAGACTGCAGTGGTAGAAGAGGCCCTTGGCGCAGCACAGGCACGAGGCGTAGTCCAGCACGGTCTCGGCCGAGCAGTAGCAGGCGTTGTCGCAGAGCCAGCGCGACGGCAGCGGCGGCGGCTCGCGGCAGCTCTCGCAGCGGCACTTGCCGCAGCGCTCGCACATGATGGACAGGCCGGCCGCGTCCGGCGCCTGCGGGCCGGCGCCGACCGGTGGCCCGCCGGGCCGCTGCTGCGCGCCCGGGCCCTTGGTGAAGGACACGGGCTGCTTGGTGACCGGCGCGCCGCTGCGGCGCTGCTTGCCCGTGGCGGCGCAGTGCTTGCCGGGCGCCGGCGGCTCGCCCGCCGCGGCCGCCTGCTTGCGCTGCCGCTGCAGCTGCTGCTGCTGCTGCTGCTGGCCGTTGGCCCGAAGGGGCGTCTCCACGTACTCGTTGGCGAGGCGCTCGCCGTCGGGCCGCGGCGCCTCGAGGCTCACCTCGGCGGCGCCGGGCCCGGCCGCCGCGGGTTGCGGCGCGCCCCTGCCCGCGCTGCGGAAGCTCGCCGCGGCGGCGAAGGCCGCGGGCTGCGGCTGCGCCGGCGCCGCGCGCGGCTGCTGTCTCTGTGCGGTGTCCGGGGCATTCTGGGTGGGCGACATGGGTCGCGGGGGCGCTAGTACTGTCGGCGCCGCGAGCCACTGCCAACCGTCGGCCGCGTCCGTGGCGGCGGCCCTAGGCGCTGCTTCTCGCTGGCTGTGGCTGCGGGTGATCGGCTGCTGGCGCGGCGGCTGCTGATGCTGCTGCGGGCGAAGCTGACTGTGGGTGCGAGCCAGCTGACTAGCCCATTGCTGGGTAGGCCGAGGGGCGAGTGCTGGCGCTGCTGCTGGCGACGGCGGGACCACGGCTGCTTCTGGGGCTGCTTCTGGCTGACGGTGAGGAGGCTGGGGCGGCTGCCAACCTGCGGCGCGAGGTGGTGGCGCGCAAGGCAGAGCCGTTCCATTAGCGAGGTGCTGGCTGCTCGTTGACGGTGCTCCGACGCGACGCGACTTTCCGCTGCTGCTGCTGCTGCTGCTGCTGCTTCCTCCCGCCCTCGCGACAAGCGCTTCATCCCCACCTGCAATGCACAAGCCGACAGATGGCAAATCAAACAATCGTCCGATTGACTGCCGGCCGCAAGTAGACGACGGCCGAGCAATTAAGGGCAATCGACCGAGGCTCGCGAGGCGCGAGGGGATCGCTTGACGCCGGTTGATGCCGTTTGGCGCATCTATTCGCGGATTCGCTTCGGTCTGCCGTTAACGCCGATCGAATTCATCGCCACTTGCTCGACTCTCCGCCGTTCGCCAAGAAGATCCTCCTTCTCGCTGCTATCGGCCACCTGCCGTGAACGCGTGAATGGGAAAAGCCGAGAATCGCTGTGGAAGTATGTCGCTACTCGCGAGTAGACGTGCGCTATCAATCGGAGAGAAGCGTTTCGCGCGTACTCGATTACTACACAGCATGCGAGAGAGAGAGAGAGAGAGAGGAGAGGAGAGAAGAAGGTGTGTCGCGTGGAAGAGGCAGCGAGCGAGGCAAGAGCCAGCGATCTTTCTCTTTTCCGAGCCCGCTGCTCGCGAGGAATGACAGGACGTGCCGCCGCCGCTGCCGCAGCAGCCAGCGCCGTACGAAGGAATCTACGCTCGTTTTAACGTTCACGTGTTGGCTCTCAGTACAGTCTCAGCCGAAAGTTCGACCGGCCGTGTTGTCGCACCTTGTCCGCGCCTGTTGCGCGCTTTTCACGCGCCTAATCGCGATCGCGGATCCACCGAAAATAGAGAAGGCTGCCCGCGAGACCCCGAGCGAGGCGCCGTCGCATCCAGGGTTATCGTTTCGCAAGATTACCGACCCACGCGCGCGGGACTGCCCCCTCGTAGTCGATTCATTAAGGAGAGGACTGTATGGGTTGCCGCAGGTGCAGCGTACGGCCGACAACCGCGACAAACTTCCCACTGCAACTGTACTTTCGTCGTGTATGCGCGCGAGAGAGAGAGAGAGATTGTGATGTTCTACGTAGGCAGAGAGAAAGGAAGCGAACGGGCGAGAGAGAGAGAGAGAGAGAGAGAGAGAGACAGACAGAGAAGTACACAAGGAGCGAAGTTTCATCGAATGAAAAGAAAAAGAAGCGATCGTTCTATCGTCGAGTCCCATCGCGCAAACAACTTGCTCGTCGTCGAATTGGAATTTCACGTTTTAGACGACGACGACATTCTTATATAGCGAGCGAGTCAATTGCGCAACGTTAAAAACCGTGGCGCGCGCGAGCATTGTCTCGCTCTCTCATTCTCTCTCGTTGAATTTTCATTGGCAGCGCGGCGTTATGCGGATGTGGGAGTGCTTCGGCTCCGTTTTCTCTCTCTCTCTCGTCCCTCCTCCCACTTCGCCGTGAATAAGTCCTATGGAATTCGCGCGCTCGACGATTGGATGGATTTACAAACGCGCGCGGTTCTTTAAAAATAATTCGAGGGACCGCCCCGAGAGAGCGAACTTTCAATAAAACGCACTGAAAACCTCGCAGCATCCCAAAGCTGTCGCAAGCGCTCGCGCGCACGCACATCTGATCGCGCGATCTCCGACTTCCGGCAGAGAATCGAGGAATGCGAAAAGGAGGAAAAAACGAAGAGAGAAGCAACACTCGGCGTCGAAGAACACTCACCGAAAGTAATCACGGGATGACGATCATCATCATCATCATCATCATCAATGACGGCACAGACACACGCGCACTGTTTTTCTATATAAGCGGCGATGGCATTGCTTGCTCCGCTGGTTTGTTGGCGACGTGGACTGCCGAGTGACTGAAGCTTGCCAAGCAGCGAGAGAGAGAGAGAGAGAGAGAGCGTGCAACCGGACGCCGGAAATCCCGTGTGCGAGCGAGACAACCTCGCCAGCACGAACACACGCTCGACCGTGCGTGTGCACACGCAGTGGCGGGGAGGACAAGGGGGAAGAGGCGGCGGACGTCGCAGGGGAGCCAGAGCCATCTAGCGGGCTGCGCCGTCGAGTCCGCCAAGAGAGAGAGAGAGAGAGAGAGAACGAGAGAGCGCTCTTTTTATGAATGGACGGGAAGCTATCATTGACGAGCAACTAAGCAGCGATGAATGAATCTCGCGATGTGTCGCTGCTGCTCGCCGTCGCGTGGAAATGTCGCCCCCACGAATTTCCGCACACTCGGCGCTGTCGATTTCTCGCGCGACGCGCGCTCGTCCGCTTGCCGCTCCACCCGCGGGGCTCGCTCGCGCGACCACGCCGCTTTTGAAAATCGAGAGACGAGTTATATTTATCGTCGCTCATTAGCCGCAGCTCCGTCCTCCTCGCGCCCATTCATGCCACACACGTACGCGGGCGGGCGCTCGCACGCGCACATACACACATACATACACACACACACATATACACACACGCGAAGTGTGTACGCGACTTTCATTCACGTACGTCTCGCTCTCTCCCACCACGAAGCAGCGAACGGCCTCCTTCGACAACCACACGCCGCCGTCGCCGCCGCTGCTCTCGGTGCAGTTTTTCTCACCATGCCAATCGCGACGGCGTGGTTTTCACGCGAGTGCGCGCTGAACTTGAGCGGATATCTTGAATGAAAAACCACGCGACTCTCGTGCACGTAACAGATGTTTCGGTTTTCTCTCTCTCTCTCTCTCTCTCTCTCTCTTTCTCGAAAAGAAAGAGCGAGCCACTGAACTGACATATGCTGTGTGCGAGAGATTCAGGAAAGCTTCGGAACCCTTTCTCCGTTCACGGATACGTTCGTCGCTAGTGCGAGATGCGCGCTGCGGGAGGATTCTACGGTCGTAGCCGATCGCGTTCGATGCGACGAGCGAGAGCGAGCGAAAAGCCAGCTCGACGAAAAAAGCGCAAAGTTGAACGACCGGCGCAATAATAAATTTCAGTCGTCTGAAAATGTGTGTCGCGCTCGGGCGACTCTTGGCCGCGTCGAAAGGAAGAAGCGCGGCAAGAGCTGTCGTAACGGAGAAAAAAAGCAGCGAAGCCGTACACACAGATCCAGAGAGAGAGAGAGAGAGCGAGAGAGAGAGAGAGAGAGAGAGCGAGAGAGAGACCCGTTGGCGTTGTTAGCTCCCGCGCTTACGCGCGTCCGTACGCACACACACGTTTCCTCCAGGTCGTTGTATGTGCCGTCTCTCTTCTCGTTTTTGTCTGCCTGCCCCCCCCCCCCCCTTCCTCCCTCCCGCGAGCCAGCCAGCGCAGAGCGAAGGACTCGAGAAAGAGCGAGAGAGAGAAGAGGTCCGGTTATCCGCTACGCCGAGCTCTCTGAAAGCGCGCGCGGTCCACGATGGCGTGAATACTTTATACGACGGCGTGAAGCTGCCTCCACAACGCTCGACCGCGCCGCTCGCTGCACGCCGATTTCGCGGGCCTCACGCCCGCCGCGCGAGAAGACGACCGCGGAGGAGCGCCGCCGAATCGCTCGTCGATCGGAGTGAAGCCTCGCGCACAACGGGTGCTGCTCGACTCGCGCGCCGAGGAAGGTCGGACCCCGCGCAAGGCCGTAAGCGCCCGCGAAAAGTCGATTGCTGCTCTCTCTCTCTCTCTCTCGACGCCGCACGCGACGCGCCGCCACGGCCCGATTAGACCTTGCGGTGCGCTCCCCGGCGATGAGTCACGCTCGCACGGCGACGCGCGTACCCGGGGTTCGCGACCACGAAAACGACCGATTGGTCCTTAGCCCGCTCGCTCGGCACTCGGTCGTCGCGCCGCCTCTCCTCCTTGCCTTCAATGAACATTCCGGCACTGGAATATTACCGGTGCTCGCGAGCACGCCCGATCGCACGCGTGCGCGCGCGCGCGGACGCCAAGCCGAGGAGAAAACGAGTTTGCCGAGAGGCGCTAAAGGATTTCAATGATCGCGGACGCATCGAAACGCACGGGGAATCCCTGGAAGCCTTCCGATCGTGGAATGTCGCGCGTCAACGGGGAGACTCCAACGCCGCCTTGCCGCAGGACCCAGCTTGGCGTGGGCGTGCGGTGACTTCGATGTGCGCGCGTCCGCGAACGCCGCCGGGGACAGTACGCGGGTGCGTCAAGCGCGGAGCTTTCCCGTCGGCCAAATGCTCCGCAGGTGAACTCGACGCACTCTCGGAGCTCGATCGACGAGAACGTTGCGAGCAAGGGAGAAGCAGTCGCCGAGGAACGCTGCCCGTACGTGGGTGTTCGTTAATTGAAATAACTCGGCCGGCGTGGGGGAACCTCTCTATTTCTCTCTCTCTCTCTCTCTCTCTCTCTCTCTCTCTCTCTCTCTCTCTCTCTCTCTCTCTCTCTCTCTCTCTCTCTCTCTCAGTTTGTTTTGACACTCGCGAAGCGTTGCTACCAATTCATCAGATTTCATTCTTTTCCACTGGCTCTCTCGGAAACACGTAAACGCCGGGGTTGTCCCAACTCGAAGCACGCGGTGTGCAACAATAGTTACAGGAAACCGAAGGAATTCCCGCTTTGAAAGAAGAAAAGACGCCCACGATGACAGAGGCGAAAATCCGGAACGCGCGCGCGCGCAGCTTTCGAGAAATCTTCATTCACCTGTGTGTGCGGGTCGGCTGCTATTGAGAGCCCGCCGACGGCTCGTACAATAGCTCGCCTCGTGCTTTTCCGAGCGCGCCCCCGCCGTGGAGAACGCGCGGCCGAGCATCCCCCGAAAATATCGCACCCGCGCGCCTACGGCAATCGCGCAACGCGTGCGGCGTACGGGATACTGCCCTCGGCCGGGGCTTTTGGAAAAGCACGAAGCAAATCGAAAATAAGCGCACGAGCAACGCCTTCGCGCGAGTTCGGAATTATACAATCGCGCGTGCGCACGCTAGATTGAGAAACCGACGAGGCGATATCTCTCTCTTTCTCTCTCTCTTGCTCGGGTCGTATGTGCTTGGAGCAGCCGCGAGCCAGAGGAGAGCTTGTGCCGCCGAGAGATAGCTCTCCGAGTAAGACGACAGATAATTCCCCTTCAGCGGATGTACTCGCTCGCTCTCTCCCTCTCTCGCATTTCCAGCCACGGCTCGCTCGCTCGCGTTGCTTCTTTTCCTCTGCTGCTCGATCGACGCAGGTGTGGAATTTGGATGCGTGAAAGATATCGGTTATCGAGCGTTGACGAGGAGGTCGTTTCTTTGTTTCTTTTTCCCTCGCTCTTGCCCCGTCCGCTTCGCCGTAATCGTCGATCTTGCTCTCCGGAGCGAGCGAGCGAGAGAGAAAGAGAGAGAGAGAGAGAGAGAGCGCCCGCGCGCGACTTGAATGGTGGTGATAAACAGGTAAGGCGATATTCACCGCGGCCCACTTATCTTCCTAGTTTTTCTAGGTTAACTCTCGTGATCGGCGGGCACTCCGTCGGTAAAAAAGAGCCGGCTATCAAGGCGCCGATTTCCTGGATTTCCAAAAGAAACGAAGCGAGACATTGGTGGTATCGAGAAGCGAAAAAAACAAAGCTGCTCGAGAGAGCGAGAGGCCGGTCTGTGTACTCGGAGATTGCGTCCGCGGGCACACCAACTGGCGATAACGGGGTGGGTAAACAAAGATAACCACTCTTTCTCCGACTCTCGCTCTGTAGGGTTTCAACAGCCAAATGTCGCCTTTGCCATTCATGCGCTCGTTTTCACCTGGCTTACTACCGCTGCTACTACAGCTACTTTCTCGACTTTCTCCCTGGCGCAAGCGCACGCACACACACACATACACACACGCGCGCGCGCGCCCACCCATACACACACACAATCGGCAGCAAAAAAGCGGTAATCGACATGAACTCACCGTTTCGACTGGGAGGCCGCGGGGGCGCAGGATAACTTGGCGGCACGATAACCGGTGGCTGTTGCGGCGGCGGCACTGAGGCGGCGGCAGCGGCTGCGGCTGCGGCGATGACTTGCTGCAGCCTCGCGTTTAGCAGTAGCTCGCGCTCGGCTACTGCCGCTGCACTGTCACTCGTAGGATAACTACCAGCGGCCTTAACGACGACTGCGCTGCAGCCGCTGCCGCCTTGTCTGCTGTTCGACGCTTGCTCCTTAACGAGCTCCGGCGAGACGTGCTGCCAGGGTGGACGCCGCGGTGGCAGCGCCGGCGGCCCGCTGCAGTCCAGGGTATCCACACTTTTACACTTGTCGCACTTTCTCGCACCTATTATTACATGCGTCGCACATCAATACAATCACACTTTTCTCTCCGCCTATCAGCGAATAACACAACTACGAGCACGTCCTGTGGAGTCGACTACAACTCGCCGCGGCTCGCGCCGCCTCTCCCGGCGACATTCGGATTCTGCTTCGTATTGGTGCTAGCTGCTGCTTTCTCTCTCTCTCTCTCTCTCTTTCTCTCTCTCGCTCTTTCGCTCTCGTCGCCTCGCGATCGTTTCTTTTTCTCTCTCGCTCGACTTATCTGTGAGAGGCAACGGATATGCACTGACTGTGCTACGCGCGGCACTCGCCAACTCTGCGACAAGCTCTGCCTGCGCGAGAGCTGCTCCGCTACTGCCGCCGTTGCTCCCCACTGTGTGGCTACGCTCGACTCCTCGCCGCTCGCTCCGGCCCCCCACCGCCGCTCACCGCCATCCATCCATCCGCCCCGCCGCCACCGCTGTCTTTCGAGTCGCGCGCGCTCTATCTCTCTCTCGCTCACACGCTCGCTCCGTCTCTGTCTAGGTTGACCGCCAGTAAACGGGCTTCATTCACTGCTTATTTTATACGTCCGCAGAAATAGCTCGTGATCTCTCTCTCTCTCTCTCTCGCTCCCTCTTCGCGGCGCTCTCCGCCTGCCCGTCCGTCTGTGTGTGTGCGTGTGTGGGTAGAGAGACTTTGTACGACCGGATCCCCTATCTCGTGCGTGTATGTGTGTCTGCGCGTGTGTGCGTATGTATGCCTCTCACCCGCTCGTTCCCTCTCCGCAGAGCTGTGTGCGTGCAAAAGTGCAGAGCAAGCGAGAGAGAGAGAGAGAGAGAGAGAGAGAGAGAGAGAGAGAGATGCGCTTCCGCTGCCCTCGATCTCTTCCGACGACGACGTCACGAATTTTCAGCCGGCCATTCACGGAAAACGCGCCGCCGCTCTGTGTATAGAGCGCCGCACCGCCGTCGACGCGTGAAAGGAGCGGAAAGAGAGAGACGCAGCTATGCTGGCTTTGCTCTCCGTGTGTAGCGAGCGCGTGCGCGCGAGAGAGAGGGTATTAGAGGAGAGCAGGTAGATACGTTTTCCTTTGAGAAAAAAGCAGCTGCTACTTGCTGTTACGCTCGCGGCAATAGAGAGGTTTCCTTGGTACGGCGAGCAGCCATGTCGAGCGCGCCTTTTCGATCCGCCAACAGCGGCATAAAAGAGACAGACTTGCTGCTGCTGCTGCTGCTGCTGTTGCTGTGGCTTCAGGAGCGTACGCAAATACTACGAGTACCCGATCGGACGATTATTTATGCGCTTGGCGCTCGTCTGTGTGATCTCGAAGCGACGGCAAACGGACATCGTTTGCGTTCTGATTTCGGAAGTCTTGGAGTCCGCCAGCGGTAGCATTATAAACTCCGCGACGTGTGTACGCGCGAGAAAGAGAGAGAGAGAGAGAGAGAGAGAGAGAGAGAGGAAAAAAATGAATGAATCGAATCGCCTAGACAAGTGCATTGAGCAAAGGCAGGCGAGCGACCAAGGGGCCTGTATAAGCTCTCGCGCATGCGCAGCGCCGAGAGAGCGGAGATTTAACAGAGCGCAGCTGCCGCTCGCGAGACGAGCAGGGAAGGATGCAGCAGCACGGCGACTCGGCGAGCCAGCGAGCAGCGCTCACACGTACACGGCCGTCGACTGCGCGATGCACTTCATTCATACTCGTGTTGTGTACGGGCCGGGCGGCGATCGCTCAGGGACGGACGTGGCTCGCCGCGGTGCCACGGGCTCGGCGCGGTCCCGACGAGCGAGCTTGCGAGGCGCATCGGCGCGCCCGGGCTCGAGGGCTCGCGGACGCTCGCAGGGGCGCCACTCCGGGCTGTGCCGCGTGCGCGCGCCCAAGTCGCTCGGAGCTTGACACACGGCTCTCGAATGAATAAGTCGCCAGGCGGCCCATACTTGGCACGTGATACTCGCTCCGTGTGGGAAGAAGGCTTCAAGGCTGCTACTACTGCCCGCAGCCGCGAAGAGAAAACTTGTCTGCGCGCTGCGTGCAGCCTCGCTCTCACCGACCACCTTTTATCACGTCTCCAAGGGGGCTATCCTTATTTATTTATGCCGGACGAGGCTCGCTTTTTCCGCGCCAACTGTTGCCTGACGGAATCAATCGGTAAACCTCACTGTTTCGCGAGCGAGCAGTTTTTATTTTGTTTTTTGGTTTGTTTTGCCTTTGACGCAATCCAATTGGACGTGATCGTGCGTTAGAAAGTCATTAATGCCGCAAAAACAATGTCAAAAGATTCAATTTAGTCGCTAGCCTTGATGTTAATGGATAGTTAACGGCAATAACATCGACTGCGTCAAAATGATAATAAAGCGTGTGGATTTCGAAACAACCAAATATCGCAATTCACCTACTTCGATAGTGAAAAAATATTGTTCTATGGCCTCTGCGCGAACGAGCATCGTTCAAATGAAAGCAAACAGGAAGCAAGCAAAAAAGTAGAAAAAAACGAGCCAGTTAACAAACAATGCGCCGACGTAAGCGAGATTAGCATTCGCGGGGATTGATTAGATGCCGCGGTCGTTGAATTTCACGCGAAGCAAAGCGAATTTAGAATTTATTTTGTCCTTCTCGCCTGACGCTCGCAACTTTTGAAGAGCGCTGAAAAATCAAAAGGAGCTTAGCTTATTAGGAATTGATATTGTCGCGCGCGCCCGTCGTCGGATTTGGGAATGCGGGCGTCTCGTTTCTTTCTGTCTTTCCAAAGCCGATCGCGACAGCGCGTACCTCGCGCGCTCGAAGAATGTCCGACGTTTTCCCCATTCGCACGAGTGGTTCTTCGTTCTCTTTATTGAAAGCTTGAATGAAGCCGCGCTCGGAATTCCCAACTTTTCTACTCGACGAGTGCGCCTCGCTCATAGACATCGTCGAAGCATAATCGATTGTTTATCAGCGTGACGACAACGCCAGTTGACGAGTTTTATGAATGACTTGGTTATCAATTAATGCGCGCCGGCGGAAAAACAATTCGCCTGTGTTTGTCGAAAGAATCATACTTAAATATCGCATGTCCCTCGCGAACGTTTCGCGGAGATGAATTTTCTACGAATCGTTTGACTTTTCATTCGATCCGAAGATGGATAAAAACGGGCCGCGCGACATAATCGCGATAGAGAGAGAGCGAGAGAGAGAGAGAGAGAGAGAGAGAGAGAGAGCGAAAGGATATCCGGCGTGTAAAAGCGGAAACACTTCCCGCCGCACCACCACACGGGCGACGCCCACCACATGCACACACATCGTCACGCAGGAATCTGCGCGCGACTGCGCTGCATCTTTGAACCTGTCCACGGCTTTTTTCGACGAGCTTATATCAGCCTCCTCGAGGAAACACCGCGCCGCCCTTTGCCGCGCGCGAGCTCGTTATGTATATTTATAAGACCCACTCGATGTCTGGAGGAGCGACACTCTTGCTCGGACGCAGTTTGTCGCTCGCAATTAATTTGTCAACTGGCAATTGCGTAATCGGCGAGTGCCGAGCGCCGAGCGAGTTGCGCAAATCATTATGAAATGCGCGCTCGTGGGTGTTAGAATCTCGATCGAGTCGATTTTCAGCTTCAATCTCGCGCCTATATAGCAGATTGTGATCGGCTCGTGCGAGCGACGCTCCGCGCCAGCTCGCCGAAGCGCTCATTGTCGAGCACTTGCCCGCGGGATCGAGCGAGCGCCACTCGCGGCCGAGCACGTGGCTCCCAATACCGTGGATTCGAGCCACGAATCGGCCGAAAGTCCCAGAGGCTATTTTCGCTCGCATAGTGGCATTTGCGCAATTAAGGAAAAGCACACGCGCGAGCGGCAGGTGTGTTCTCATCGAACGAGAAAAAAAGGCGTGTGCACGCGCGGCCACGTGCGCCGGGCATGAATGACGAGTCGATATATACGACGCACCAATTCATTGAGCGCTCGCTGCCCCCTCCTTCGGGCTGCTGCTTCGCGCAAGGACACGCCAGACATACGCGCCACGGGCTTTTCGTATTTCATTCATTAAACCTGGCTTTTGGATGATGGGCGCGGCACGACTCTCGTGTGCCGAAGGAAAATTCAATTTTTTTTTCTTTTTTTTTTCTTTTGCGAGAACGAAAATCGAGTGTGTTCATTGGCTATTAATTAAGTTAATGGTATCATGTGTCGTGCTTGCTTTTAATTTATCAAGGCTTTTTATTGAATTACATCGATTTTAATTTTGACGATGAGTCTTACTTGGAGTGATTATCTTTCATTATTGGTGTACGTTTATAAGCGCGCGGAATATACATCCTGTAAATCATCACGATTGGTACATAAAAAATCCCGTGGCGTTATTAAGATTTGTTTGCATGAGTTTAATGTAGCTTGTTAAACATTCATTGACAATTAATTGAAGTTCGACTGTAGTTTGACTGACATAATCTTCTTTTTAATTAATTCACATCTCATTTTCCATCGACGATATTTTTTTCGCTCGATGCCAGATTTTTCTTTTTTCGGTCGCATTAGAAATTCAACGACGTATACACAGCTAATACACATGTTTGTCGAGACTGTTCCATTCATGAGAAATCGTTCGTTCCTCTCCATTGCGAAAAGACTGTAAGAAATATAACGATGAAATTTATATTTTTTATGGGCGCTGATGACTCATAGAAGGCAATTACCAGAAAATTGACCTCCTGCCGAGTAAAACAATGATGATCGATTGGTAATATAGGTGAGGAAAAAAACATAAATGAATTCTTCAATAAACAATGGTTTATTCGTAATAGTCATTTTCAAAAAAACTCTCTTAAGCCATACGTGTAAAAAGTAATGTTTACTTAGAAATGAAAAAAAGAACAAGAAATAGAGTACGAAAAAAAAAGTTGTCGCACACGCCTGTACAATCGACGTGGCGATCTTACGTTATGTAAAGCTTGGTTGTTACACACACATACATAATCTTGCTTTTTAGGTATATCACTTGTTTGACTCTTGCGCGCGCGCGCGCGCTCGCGAGCTTATCGTGCATCCGCTTCCGAACTACACGACGACGTACAGTATATTGGATTATCAAAAATTTCTCGTCGACGAAACTTTGTCTATGCTGTTCAAAGTGAAGCATTAAACTTCGGCAGCACTGATTTCTCATTTTTTTTCGTTCATCTTGTAATTCGGCTTTTATGAAAATGAATTTACGTGGTTCACCTTTTTTTTTATTTTTTTTGTTTTCTTTATATACAAATAATATGATGACTTTTCTTAAAGAACGTTGGAAAATGTGGACGATTGAACGTATAGAAATTTTTCTTTCAGCTCTTAATTGATAGTCGTAAGAAAAATATTTTGGTCTTGATATTGTTTCAAAAAACATTTTTCAAAATTCTTGTTTATTTTCTTGTTTAACCCTTACCGGTAACTTCTTTGTTGCTCATCACATCGTATACAAAGAAATTGTGCCAATCGATGGATTATTAAAATAAAAAATGCATGGAAATAAATCGAGACAGTGATTCATTTCATCTTTGTTAACAAAAGAACAAAAAAACGAACACAAGAAAACTTTTGGAACTCGATCGAATTTCTCCGAGCGATCGACTCTATCCTTCTTCATTTCAAAGAAAAAAAAACAAAAATACACGCGTCACTTTATCTTCGATACAATTTTTCGAAAGATTAACCCAACCCAACCCACGTATATCGAAACGGAAACGAAGAAAGTTTTTCATCTTTCTTACAGCGCAAACTGAAAATGCTATTCCATGAATTTTTTTCTACTTCGGCACTCCTTAGATACATGGGTATATTTAAATTTTAGCCTCTCTACATATGTGAATGTGTGTACGTAATTCCTTTGTCATACAGCACCTACTTAACTAACATGTATAATTCTAATTCTTTTTCGCGAATGCACAAATTTAATGTTTCTCATATCTGTTCTACTTTTTGCTCATTATTATTATTTGTTTCTTTACACGTTTAGATTAATTCTTCGCTTCATTTTTTATATGAGATTATTCGTTACCTTTTTGTTGTTTTTTTGTTTGTGCTACAAGTAATCACATTCATAATGCGTCTGTACAAACTCCGCGTATCTTACGATTTTCTTTCCACTTCATCTTTAAAAAAAACGAATCGTTTTTCATTTTCATTTCTCGTCTGTTGCTTTGTTGAAAAAAACGCTCTCGTTGCGAAATAGTACATTACGATACAAGTGCGTAATGTACTAGCTTCGCTCGGGCGTATACGCCACACGAGACAAGAAACTCTTTCCCGAATATGTGTCGTACCGTATTTTTTGATACGACGTGTGGAAAGTGCGATTTTCAACGCACGTTTTCTGCCGAGCGTGCGGGAAAGACGCACTTTGCGCACGGAGTATCGAAAATGATTGAAAACAACTTATAAATCTGACCAGTTGCTATTTCGGATTTATCTAGATAAAAACTTTATTTAAAAATCATTCTTTAAAAATCATTCTTTAAAAAAACCGTTAAAAAGCAAACGCATACGTAGGAAACAAATCTTCTCTGGAGCTACAAACTACTTGATATCACGTATTATCCACGTGAATTGGCCATTTTATAGCGCACGCATTTATGTATCTAAGTGTATGTGCGGGTGAACGTAAAAACGGATAAATAAGAAAGGTAGGGATAAGGGGGCTGTCTCATGTACAAAAAGTCAATGTGAGCAAACTTGTTGTTTAGCACACTCCAACGCGACAATTACGCGTTGCGATTAGAGAATCTGGAAGAGCTTTTTGAGTTCAACCATTAGCGTCCAGTCGCTCTTCATCAGGTCGTCTCTGAAGTAATCCTTGCAGGCATCTATACTCTGTCGGCTTATCTGTAACAGTTAGAAAGATGAATTCTGCGTTAGTTTGGTTATGCAGAGCGATTAATTCAAAATAATAATTCTGAACGCTTAGAAGGGAAAACGAGTCATGAAAATTCACGCACGAAAGCTCTCACAGAGGAAGTCGAAAAATCCTGTTTACTTAGACGAATGATTTTCAGTAGTAATATTATGATGCTTCGGGATCATCCTAGTGTTCAAATTTTAAACCTCAAGCAAGAAAGTGCGACGTCAGCTACTAATACGACCTCATGAAGCTTCTGACTAATGTAATTTTCAATTAAGTATTACAGGCGCAAGCCTGGCAAAAATACGAACGATTCCCAGAGGAAACGGAAGTAAAAATCACCCAATCAGTCCTTAATTCGTTACCTCAATTAAATAGCTTATACACTGTCAGTATAATACGAATTGCTCGTCGGGCAAGATCAAAGATCAGGCTTATTTTCCTTCATCATTGGCATGAAAATAAAGGGGCAGCCGATTGTTCGGCATTAAAAATAGCACGCCAATTACGTTCGCGAGTTTGGACTTTTTATATGTGTACGGTGCAACCCCGTTCGATTAGAGTACGCCGAATGGCCGAAGAAAAGCTACGGAAGTTTTTGGTGCCACCTGGAAATACAATTCCATTAGCGAGTTTACAGTGCACTATCGATGCGTGGGCGTCGGCTCCGCAAGGGAGATGGATGAGAAGGGAAAAAGTAATAAAAAAAAGGTGGTTAAATTAGATCACGGCCGATGTTATATAGAACTTCTAGCCGAAAATAGACGATGACGAGAGGCCTACGCCTTTTACGAGTAACTTTTCCTTCTTTCCTCACATTGCTTATTATTATTTATTAGGGTTTTACTTTTATATGGAGGAGGTTTCGAGAAGAACGGTGACGTGGCTTTTCTTGTCTTTACTGAGAATCTGCCCGTGGCCCTCGATTTGCTGAAAAGTTCTGTGAAGTTTCATAATCGAATATTTTATAGGTTATTTTTTCTTACGGTGCCTATTTCAGAATCAAGCTAAGTAATCTTCAGTGAAATACAGTAAAACGGATAGTTGTACATATGTTGAACGATTCGAGATATCAAGTATTTATTTTGCAACGCTTATGAAGCAAAAATCTAAATTGTATTGGAGTGTATCGCAGATTATGTTATCTAGCGTCAAAAATCAGAAGAAAAATGAAGACGGCCGAGTGAGATCAACATCAGAGTCAGTATTGAATTTGCTTTCAAAGTGCATTTGGCACGTCATTAGAAAAAGAAAAACCAAAACAAAACGAAATAGAAACGAAAAATTATCGCACAAAGTCTTTCGCGCGGAGAAAAACGCGGGCGACGACGGGCGCGCGTAGCAGCGCAGCAGAACGTGCAGAGTTGGTGTCCCATTGAGCTGTTCTCCCCTTCTGAGCGGAAGTGCCGCTTCATTCATGAATCGAGGCCCACAATGGCAGATTGTGCGTGCTTCTCTCTCTCTCTCTCTCTCTCTCTCTCTCTCTCTCTCTCTCTCTCTCTCTCTCTCTCTCTCTCTCTCTCTCTCTTCCTCGGTTGAGCAGCGGACGCGCAGATTTTTACCGTTAGATAAAAAAGAAATAAAATTCAAGCCAACGTGCTTATTTTTTTCCCAGCACCTTTAGCTAATTCCATCCACCTGCACGGCAGCTAATACTTCCGATCCCCGAGGAAATCCGATTACGCCGAAAGGAGTTCTATTTTTTCTTTCTTTTTTATCGTCGGCTCGTGAGAGAAAATTCTCCTCGAGTCCTCTGTCGCTCGCGCGGAGAAAATTCGTTGACGGCTTTTTATAAGGAGCACGCGCTTTGGCTTTCCGCTTGTAGATCTGTCGCGCATTGTTTGCCTCGACCGGGGCGGAGAGGGGAGGGATTTGTGAGGAGGCAAGGGAGACGACGTAACGCGGCGATGATACGTAACGTTGGTTACGGCCTCGCCGAGGACGGATTCTCTCGTGAGAAAGCCTCGTTACAATCCGGTCGGATGAAAACGCTAGCATCCCTCGGGACGAATAGTGCCAAGGGCCCGGCACAAGCGAGATACACGGGGGCGCGCGCGGCATCCCCGTCGCCGAAAAAGCGCGCAACAAAAAGGAGACGTTGAAAGAAGTCGACGTCAGCTGTGTGGGGGCCCTTTAAAGAGGTTTCGGCGGCTGTGCTCGGCCTCGCTCGTGCGGTGGGCACACGTCGAGCGCGTGGAGAGAAAGCAGCAGGCGGCAGCACGGGATAACCGTGGGAATGCGCGCGAGCCACTTCCGGCAATGTGCGCACGCGCCGCGCGTGCATGCACGCTGCAGCTTCCGCCCCGCCCTTCTTTCGCCAAACGCCCTTGTCTTGCGCTGTCGAGGGCCGACTCGCGCGCTCGCGGACTATCGGGCTTTCGGCCATTACCCGCGCGTCGAACAAGCAGCAGAATACATTTTCAGGGAGACGACGGGAGCGCGGTATCGCTTTCAAAGCCAAAAATGGCTGGTTTTTCTGCGGCGAAACGAGAAACTGCGCGAGAGAGCGAGAGGGAAAACCCCTCGACGATAACGAATTTTTGTGCGATGTCCGTCTCTTTTTTTTTTTGCTCTTCACTCGACACCTTGTGTTGTCTGTGAGCCGCATGACTCGAAGGCTCTCCGAAATGTCGGCCTCTTGTATGGGCGTTTTTCCCAGACTGCCGGAGAAAAAGAGACGGAGGATGTGTAGGAGGAAGACGATTTTTGAGTGATCGTTGAACATTTCCTCCTCCTCTGTTCGCGCTCAAGTATTACTTTCGAGTGTCTATACCTGCGTCTTAGAGGGAGAGTGTCATTATACGAGATGTGGGATAAGGCAATTTTTAGTTTTCAGCTTGTATCTTATTGTGTCTCTGCATATGACAAGTATTGTTTAGAAATTTAAAGATTTTTTTTAAGTTTTTAACATTAGCGTAGGTAAGCAGCGACGAATAAAGATGGGGGTAATCGATATTGAAATGTAATGCAACGGAAACGTATTGTCAGGCTAATCTTGAATCTGAATTTTGCGTCTCTTAACAATAACGCCGGCAAGTCGTCGCGTTGTTAGACGGTAACCGAGTTGCAAGCACGATTTCCGGCGAACCGGCTGAAAGTCCAGAAGTGTGCAATCGGATTTTCAATGTTGCCACACCCCCGCAGAGCCATGGCTCGCGGCAGTGCGTCGACGGCAACGCGGAGCCGAAGCGTGCCGTACAATGAAGGGAGCTGAGGCCTCGGCAGGGAAGCCGGCGCGCTGAGAAAAGAAGCGCGTTATACTCCGCGTCTATTGTCGGCTGCGCGCGCGAGTTCCGGAAAGCCGGAAAGGGAAGCTGCTGGCGCTGCCGCGGCATCCGGCGACCACCTGCCGCTGCGCTTCCGCTCTGTCCTTCGTGGAAACTCTATATAGCCGAAAAACAAAGATGCTGCGCGCCCCTATCTTGCGTATATCCATTATGCAACTCAATATAGCGCGCAGGCCGCGACTATTTTTACCGGCGCGCCACGTCTCGAGGCGCAGCAGCTCGTTTTCAGGCCGGATCCGGATGACTTTTGTTATCGTAAATATTTGTGCTGCTGCGATTGTTCGTCGCTCCTTTGGCGCGGGACAGGCTTTCTTCTCCTCGCGTTTCCAGCTTTCGTGTGTTGCGATATTACTCGGAGTGGCTGCGGGGCCACATTCCGACCAAACGTCCCGTGAAATTCTATCAATGAGATTCCGATCGACCAGGATAGTCGCCTCGAACTACGATGCATCGTAAAAGCCTATCGAACGAAACTGACGAACAATTATGCAAAATTACCGAACGTCTCTTTTGAGCTTCGATAATATGCGTATTACATATTCTACTCCGTAGAACGATAGAGATGTAAGCGGGTCTTTTAAGTGGGTCGAAGCCGTCAAGAGACAGTGCGGTCGTCGCACGCCTGAGGCTTTCAACACTCAATCGTTTCACAAATGCTTAAGCGTTTCAAAGACATTATCAACGATGTACTGTAGTCTAACGTAATGATTGCACTGTGCCTCTAACGTTGATAACTGACATTGAAAGTATCTTGATTATTAAATAGACGACCGACAAGATAAGCTTTCGTTTACACGTGCATCTTCGTCAATCCATAAAGCACGCTATCTATTTTTATTGAAATTGCTCTGTCGGAATTGAATCCCACAAACGATACAACGCCACGCTTGAAACTTTACTGACTCAACCGTTGGATATCACGTAAAAGCCAGTCGCAACATTAGCAGGTCTGTGCAAAACGGCGATGCAGCGTCCGTGCAAATATCCGACTTGAGTTGTGCTGCTGCTGTTGGCCAACGATGAATTGGCTTGCGCGTGCCGCGACGCCGTGTGTTCGGGTGGCACAATAATAAATGCAATTTTGCAATCCGACTGCTCGTACAAATGAACGAGCGGCAAGAAGCAAATGAGAAGAGGGAAGGCGCGCGCGCGCACGCGAGACGTACGTCCAGCGATTCATCAGGCAAGCTTCGCGCGAGCTACTCCCACGCTGCCGAGCGAGTCGCCGGAGAAATGAAAAAAAGGAAGTCTCGCTTGCGCTCGCCTCGCGCCAGAGCCCAATTCAATTGCGTCGCGGGCGTTCCACGTGCGACAATAGCTCCTCTCTCGATCGCAGCCACTTTCCACAAACAGACGCTTAATTTCGGCGCGGCTGAGGGTGAATTGCGATTTGTACACAAGACGAATCAGCCGAACGAGATTCGTCCACATTCTTCCGAAAACAAAAAGGAACGAAAAAAATAAGAAAGAAAATAAATAAAACAAGGGAGCCACCCCCGCACGCTCGCGCTAGAGCCTTGGAAGCTTGCACACGTACGAGAGCCGAAGCGAAGCTTTTTTTTTATTTCAATGGCGCACGTGTAGCCTTCGTAAGATCCCCGAGGATCGGAAAAATCTACGTCCTCGGATGCAGTTCGTCCTCGACCCGATTGACGGCGCTTAACCTCATCCGCCCCTTCTGCAGTTCTGCCGGTAACCAGTGGCAACGCAGACGTCAATGGGGAGGATGACCTGATTCTCTTGTACTAACGTGGCGGCGGGGCTGCTAAACTGAATGACTAACGAGGTCCCGCGTGGGTTGCGTATGCGGGCGCGTATAGGTGTGTGTGTGTGTATATAACGCCGCTGCCGCTCTAAATGGGGAAATTCGGAAAGAAAATTTTATCCTCGTAAGGGAATCTGGATATTCTTTGTTTTCGGATCCCATGCTCCTGATTGGTCAGCCGCCAGATAATGAAAATATTTAACGCGCGCATAATTTTTCGCAGATATTACGGCACACCAGGCAATCTAATGCATAAGAAAAAAAGCTCATCAAATTCCAATTTTACAGCGCTCGATCTATTTATCATTAGTGTTTCCTCGACATAATTTATTGCAGTTCTGGCCTCTGAAAGCTCGGCACTTCCTGTATATTACAGCGTCGCGCGTCGATAAGGAATCCCGATAAAGCCTCGACACGGTATCGGTGTATTTAACCAAATAAAACGTTGTCGATAAAAGCCAGCGAGAGTCGAAAAATCACAGGCATTCAATTAAGGAGAGCACGGCTGCGATCAATCATCATCCCTCACGAGAGTAGGAGAAAGAAAAAAGGCAGCGGGGCTCGGCGCCATCAATCTTCTTGTTTTTTCTTTTTTCTGCACTCTCGCAAACAAAAATCTCATTATAAAAGCCCGAGGAAGTCGCGGACGGAAGCAGCGGGCGTCGAACTCGCGAGCCGCACGAGAAGTCCGTGAATGGGCTGCGCGCTTGCCCTCGTTTTCCATTCAGCAGCAGCAGCAGGCACGCCAGCGAATCGATACTATATAACTCGCGTACGCGAGTGAATGGAAGCAACGTCGTGTCGTCTCTCTCTCTCTCTCTCTCTTTTCAACTAGAAATATCACAAGAGATTCTGCTCGCAAATGAAAAAATAGGTAAATCAATGTATCCCTCGTCAATTTGAAAACTGCATTCCCCGACAGAACGCAAAAGAAAAAAAAAACATCCAATCTAACATCATTATTCTACAGTAAGGGGAAAAAAGCAAATTCTTAACGACGTACGAACAGGCCAGTACGTACAGTGTAGGTGGTTCCCGCGAAACTGGTGCCGCTTATCTCTCTCTCTCTTTCTCTCTCTTCGCCACATCGACTCTTATCGTTTCTCGCGCCCACGCGATGCGCGTCAATGGGGCGCGCGGACCTTATTTTCTCTCTCTTTTTTTTCTTTCGCCCGAAGACTGGTTCTCCGACCTTGCAAGATTGAGATTTCCGGACTTTTATTGCGTCCTTTTTTTTTCCTTTCAATTTGGCACCTGCGGAGGAGGACGCGCGCGGCTGTATGCTTTTTCCACTTTCAAAACAACGGCCAGAGTTGCGACATTTGGTCAACGCTCGACGGGATGCGCGCGCGTGTGCTTTGAAACAGCACGTGCTCGACAGCTCGAAACCTGGTTTTCAGCGGCTTTCTCTACCGACATGTGCACGCGGCACGAGGAGATTGTTGGGCAATGGAGATCGATTCGTAAGGTCGCGCGGTTCAATTTGATGATCGGGCGAGCATGTAGAGCCGCGAGCAAAACAAAAAAAAAGGAAAAAGTATTTACTGGCGCAAGTATTTATTATGCATCGAGTAGTTCCGAAGGCGAAACAAAAAGAGGCTAAAAGCATACACGAGGCTATTGGCATGCAAGATAGCCTGGCGTTGGTTGTGCAGCTAAGCCGATCGTTTACTCCATGCCGATGAATGGCGCGGACGAACTTACGCAATTCTCTCCACCTCGCTTTTCTCCTCAGCGCGATCGGCCGACGTTGTTCAATGGAACCTACATGCAATTCAATTGAATTGAGACGTTTGGTAATGCACGCTTGATCGATGATTTGGCTCTACACGGAGTGGGTCTCTCTCTCGTTTCAGCTGTAATAGAAATCAAGTCACTGGACACTGCGTTCACTTGTCACTTTTGCCCCTTTCGTCTCTTACTCGATTTCTCTAGCGAAACACCCGTTCCCCACTACGCTTTTCGACAGACTTCTGTTTCTCGTTTTACGAGGAGGGGCTCTCTCTCACTCTCTCTCTTCTTCTCTCCTTTTGGATATTGTTTTTCTCACTTGCACGCGACGACGAAGCATGAGAGAGAGAGAGGGAAAAGCTTTGTCGTCGATCGTCGTTACTCGATCGTCTGTGCGCGGAATCGAATTTCGAGGCCGAGCCGCGGCGCAGCGATGTGCTATAACGCCTTTTCAATTTGCAATTGTCGACTCTCTTTCAGTCGTGTGGTACGAAATTGGCATGCGCAGTGTTACTAACCAAACTGCTGCGATGAATAGCAATCGTGACTGCTTGCCACGAGTTCACCTGTAGGCTCAAAGCAGAGTTGTCGATTCAAATGAACATTTTTCTAAGCTAATTGCTCGCAGATAGACTGTCGCTTGGAATCTAGTTTACTATTATCTCTACAAATAAACGTCCAAGTACGTCTTCGCTGAAATTCTAGTTTAGTCGTATGTATGTAAAGCTTGTGTGCATCTACGGGCCTTCATTGGTAATTGCGCGATCGATAGCTCGAAGAATCATTGACACAATTAAACATACTTTACAAATCAGATTAAATCATTTTCAAAGTGTCCCCTCAACAGTCTCAGTTGTTGTCCAAAGTAAACATCAAACTTCTCTTTCAGTTGAGAAAAAAAACTGTCCGTCCGAGGATTGAGAGAAAAAGAAGAATAAGAAGACGAGAAGGAGTATAGCATTAACGCAAACAAGGACATTTTTCATTCTTTATGAAGGCGTGTTTTCTCTCTTTCTCTCTCGCAGCATCTTACCTAACATCGTTGGAGAATCGCACAGTCGAAGAAGAAGAAAAAGAGAAATAAAAAGAAGAACTCGTAAAAAGTTAATTCCATCCTGGCAGCTTAATTACTTCCGTTCGGACCCGGTCTACGGGCCTCTCTCTCTCTCTCTCTCTCTCTCTCTCTCTCTCTCTCTCTCTCTCTCTCTCTCTCTCTCCTCTCTCTCTCTCTCTCTCTCTCTCTCTCTCTCTCTCTCTCTCTCTCTCTCTCTCTCTCTCTCTCTCTCTCTCTCTCTCTCTCTCTCTCTCACTCACTCACTCACTCACTATCTCTTAAAACGAGACAATTTTAGGGTGAACGAGCGACGGACGAGAAGAAGCAATACAGAAAATAACCAAGTGTGTAGTATGCCGTATCGTGAAATTGGCGGAGCAAACAACATCGACGCGTGTTTCAGCAACGGAACAGCCGAGAAAATCTCTTTCCTTTGAATGAAGAAAATCAACGCTGAAGGTCAGGCGTAGCGAGTGAAAAGAAAGAGGCAGCGAGGAAAATTTGTTGCTTGGCCGGCTTCGAGAGCAGGGATATAAATCGACGGCTTGATGGTTTCGGCTGTTAAACCTAATAACACATGGCGCGAGGCAGAAAAAAAAATAAAAAGAAGCACTGCCTCGGCGAGCGCTTAATAACAGTGATTTTGTCATTGGACGCGGCGTTTTCTGGCGCGTGGAAACGCTTCTCCGCAGGGGCTCCGGGCGCGTAACGAAACGCCGTCGACTCCGCGAAGCTACAAGGATAGCCGAACGCCCGCTCGTTTGCATACATCAGCGCCGCGGCGAGCCGAGGGAACGGTGGCGTAACGCGAGGGCTGGGAAGCGTGCCGTTCGGCGAACGGATCGGCTGGAAATCCGCGACGATCGGGAAACGGATTGACCCGCCTCGATATTTGCCCTCGACGCGCGCACGATCGCACTTGTCTCTTTCGCGTCGAGCGTTCCCGCGATTCGTGGCTTTCGAAAGCACAAATCGATCCCGTGAGAGCATAACCCCAACGCTGTCTTAAAATGCAGGCCGCGCACGCGCGCGCAACTCGACGAGAGAGAGAGAGAGAGAGAGAGAGAGAGAGAGACCGAGGAAAAAACAAGCAATTCCGTCAAGTATTCAACTCGCACATTTCCTACAAGTACGCGCACGAAGCGAAGTGTAAGAGATGGCCGTTGTATAATTGAATCGAAAAAGTTCAGCTCGCGTCGCTTCCGTTATCACGCCGATACGTGGCACCAATGACGATGCGCTGGCGAGGCTGCCTCGCTGTGTGCATGCACCGTTATAGGATAAGCTGTTGCTGCCGCCGATGCCCCGCTAACGCGCCCGTTAAACATGCCAGAACGTCATTAGACTAACGACGTATCGTGTGAAACAATCTCATTCTTCTCCTCGGCACTCGGGACATTTCTGGACTTTTGATGATTTCCGAATGAACACGTGCGCTATCGTTGAGGTAAAATCGCCTTTATAAAGTACGACGCTGAATGGATTGGTTCAAGGGTAAACAAATTAATTCAGAAAAGAAAAGGACGAAAAATCAAGCCGAATTAACGTATCAGATGAATGATAATTGGCAGCGATGACGTTGATGTGACTCGGTGCGACGGCGATGACGATGACGAGCATGGCAAAAATGCGCAGGAGTGACAAATTTTTGTTAAAGTGGGCTGATTCACGGGTCGCAAGAGGAAGCCTCGTGGACGAAAGTGGTCTAGGAATCGACGAGCGAAAAGAGCGGACGAAGCGCGCGCGAAGGGAAGACGCCGAAGTTCGGAGCGCGTATCTGCAAGTCCTTGCGAGGCGAGTTTTTCGCGAACTGCAAAAAACCGGTTCGCTCGCACTTGCCTCATTTGCGCAGGTGTGCGCGCACGCGAAGGTCGAGTTCATCGGGAGGGGCGAGAAAAGTTGTACCGCGGATGAAAAAAAAAAAAGAAATGCAAGGAAGGAGAAGAAAGAGGGAAAAAAAAGGAGCGAGGCTCGTACCTTGCTGACAAGCATATCCTTCTCGTCGAAATGTCGCCCGTACATCTTGGGCGCCTCGCCGGGTATCGGCTCGATCTTGATGCAAACCTCTTGGCCCTTGCGCGCCTGCTCCACTTGCTTGTGGTTGCATTCGATGCTCGTCACCAGCCCGAGATCGACGAACTGTAACAAACAAACATGACGAGCTTTAGATCGCTGGCAGAGGAGGACTCGCAGGACAGCCAATGTATCTCCGTGTGCGCGCGACGTAGGCGTCGCTCCGGAGAATGACCGTGGGCTGCCCATTCAAAAGCGACTCGGCGTCCCTCCTTTCTGCCCACGTGCTTCTGCTGCCTTGTACATCCTTGTGCTTTCTCTCTCTCTCTCTCTCTCTTCTCGCGGACAAGCCTCCTCTTGTCGCTTCTTTTTCCCGACAATTGGATCGAGCCCGTGCATTTCTGCTTCATTGTGGAAGCAAATTTTCCGCGATAGAACACGGCCAGACAGGAAGGAGGCCGAAAAAAAAAATTCGAATACGATACGAGTTCCCAACGGATATACGTTTTAATTGAACAAGCAAAAAGTAAATGGACTTTTCGATAATACAGTTAGATCTGAGGCTAGTCGCCGGCTCATTTTAGCCGAGCATTTATTCTGCAGCAGCGGCGCTGATTCACATGGCAAACTAGCTTATCGTTCTCGCGTCTCGGCCTACGAGTACTCGTTTCGAGCCACGTCCAAGTGAGGTTTTCGCCCAACTATCGGGGCCGAAAACAAAGCTCGCCAGCGGCTTCTATCTCTCGCAAATATTTACGAGTCTCGTTGTCGTTGAACAAAGGCCCGCACTCGAGTTAATCCCCTTTCGACCTTTAATTACTCATAGTCGCAGCACAGTTCCTGCGGCACGAGCGCGAGCGACGCAATCTTTTCCGCCCGCGCGGACGCGGATAACGAATTCGCGCGCCCACGAGGGATGAATAATTCCCAGGGCGGGAATGCGCCGCAACCCACACTTGGACGATAGCGAGGCAGAGGAGTAGGAGGAGAAGGCTGCCGATCGCAAGAGCGAGCTGCCTCGCGGACATTTAGCTCGCTTGTTCTGGCTCGACAGCAATGCTGGCTGCTTTTGTGGAAAATTTTCTACGATAGACGATGTAGATGCGATGACTTCGCGCACTGATAAAACTCGAAGGAGAAACGCACGATAAACGAAACGTGCTTGACGCCAAGGTTCTGTGAAGATTCAAATTCTGGAATAATTGTATTATACCAATCGTTAATCCCATTATGTGCGATCCCTACGAAACTTGCAGCGGCAAGTGACAAAGCTACTTAGAAGCGCATAAGACGGCCAGATTTGTGCTGCAGTCGACGGATCATCTCTAATTAGCTTAGAACTTATCACCCAAATTTTGAGCGATGGGAATGACGGGCAAACCAGCACTTAAGCGCTCCGGAACGCTTAAGGAATGCCGGATCAGTTCGCATCCGAACTGCTTGGGTAAGCCGCATCTGGGCGAGCTAAACCTCGGGATTGTCGGTGTTTTCGGTGATCGTTGTCTGGCTTGTCAGTGTTGACAGCGCTTTTGTCGATAGCTGAGCTTGGAACGAGATCACGACAATGGCTACAGCACGACGCCGTTCGCATGTCAGTATTCTCGATGCAGCAGTAATTACTTTACTTGGAAATCATTGAAATTCTACGACTATTAAACTATTAAACTATTAAGCAAAGAACATTTCGGTTGAAACTTTCCAATACTTTCAGGCAAGGTTGCAGTTGCAAGTTAACAGGACGTTATATGTGAGGAATCTACCTTGCAACATAACGGAAAATGAAATCTATACTATCTTTGGCAAACACGGCTCGATAGACTCTATCAGATTGTAAGCACACAATTATCAAATTATACTTGGTCCGTGCGCTAAAGAAACGTTTTATTAACGGACGTTGTTTTAAAACTTTCAGGGGCCGAACATCCGAGTCTATCGGCACAGCCTTCGTTGTTTACGAAGACGTGTTCCATGCGCAAAATGCTTATGACTGCTTGAAAGGCGTCAGAGTTAGTGGTCAATATCTGGTGATCTTCTACTATCGCTACAATGCTTCTACTCAACGTCACGATGTTGGTAGATTGAAGAAGAAGATAGACAAGATTGGAAAGGTCAGGCTTGATCTTGAGCGATGATCGAAGACAATTTCTATTTTTTCGTACTTAATTATTATCATTTAAAAAGTCTAAATGTGTGAAGGAACCAAGAAACATTAGGGCAAATTGCCTTATATCACTTCGTTTCAAATCATGGCGAGTACTAACCGACAGAAGAATATTATTTGTTTAAAGTAATATTAGTTTGCCTACTTTTTAAAGTGTCTCGAAAACTGTTTTAATTGCTTTTATTTACAAGCAATTTAAGCAATGAGTCATCCGTTTTTGAAAAAATTGAAAAGAGAAATTTTTTCTACTCTACATTCCTTATATTTGTAGGAATTTAAATGTCTAAATATAGATTAAGTCTTTTTCTTTTATAGCTGCTTACTTTTGACATACGTTACCCAATTACTCTCGTCCTTTTAGCGGAGTTTTTAAGCTCTTGAATGACAATTTTCGCATACAAAATTACGGCTATCGAGCCTTTTACAGTTAATCGAATGGTCGTGCTATTTATTAATTATAAAAACCAACATTGGGCGAATTTCAATCAATAACGATTACATCTGGAAATCCACCCACAGCTTCTGCCGTGATCTGGAAAATCTCGGTGTCCCCGCGCGCTTCAGTACGAAAATGGAGAAATCCAGCGTCTATATTCGCTTCGCTGTATATAACCTCGAGAATTTATAAGGCGAGGTCTGCTCTCGCACCTGACCTCCTCTTACTCGCGAGTGCGTATAAATAATTTATGCGAGAGAGCGAGCATTGGAAATTAGACCGGAAGCTTATTAGCCAGTCGTGAGTGTCAATTATAGTTATCGTTCCCTATATACCAGGCCGTATCGATGTACATTTTTAACAATTGATGGATAGCTTCTTACCGATTCATGGAAAATCAAATGAAGTGTATAACAAGCAACGCTGATATATCCGATCTTGGATCGCAGGATATCGCTGAAATAGATCTTTCATGCTGAAAAAGTACATTACGTACTAATTTGGATTATAGATGCCTTAATATCCTATTAAAATTATACTGCCGCTCACGGCTCATAATTCTAGATTATTATTTATCCGAACCCTTCAAACTTTCTCTCGATGGGCAAAACAATGCGATTATTATCCCCCCCCCCCTGTAAGCGTCGAGTATATAATTGAAATGACATATCGAGAACAAACAATGGTATATGATTTGAAGTAGGAGTAGCTAATGAGCGAAACGTACGAACGTAGGTGTTTTCCAAGCCAAAAATTCCAATTTATATATCGAAAATAATACGATTCAATGGACAATGGCCGAAACCCACGTAATATTTTCTGTCAGGTCGTGCTTGCCTTTTTTTACGTCCCTTCTTTCACCTGTCTCTTTATGCTGCCTGCTCGCTTCTTCTTTTTCTCGAACAGGGGAAGACTACGAGGTATATGCTTGGTTCGTTTGCATTCGAGAGGTGAATGGATTCGATTTACTTCTAATGGAGGGGAGAGACGAGAGGGGGGACTTTATAATTGATAACCGCATGAATGGCTTGACTTGACAAACTTGAATACGTCGCTTCTCCTTCGTTTCCTTTTTTTCTTCTTAGAGGAGCGAGGGGGTATAACGTGTTCTCGTTCGAATAATGCCAGTGTTATTGATTGCCGAGCTTTGCTCTTTTTTTTGCTGAAAGTTTATCGTTTTGCAGGTGCTCTTTATTTATAGAAAAGCGACAACATTGCCGAAGAAGAAGTGACACTTCACAGCGTACATACCGGTAAAAAAAAAGAAAAAAAATTTAAGTTTTTCCGTTGTCGATTAATAATCGCTCTCTGCTTGCTTGCGTCTTTCTCCAATGCACTGCTGCCGGCCATTACCATACACAGCAGCATGCAGGTGCGCTTCTGCAACTTCTTTTTTTATTCTCCCGTATAACCAAGAGAGAGAGAGAGAGAGAGAGAGAGAGAGCACCTGGCCGCGAGAAGAACCTGCATCCGAGAAAGAGAGAGAGAGAGAGAGAGAGGGCTCCATTCATAAATTTCGTCCAAGAGAGAGCGAGAGAGAGAGAGAGAGAAGAGAGGCGGACGCATCCTCCGCGCGCACGACGGATTATTAAAATTGCAAACTAGCCGCTCGCTCGTCTCTTATTTCCATTTTTATCTGGCCTTTTCAGAGCGTCAACACACACACACACACACACACACACACACACACACACACACACACACACACACACACACACACACACACACACACACACACACACACACACACACACACACACACACACACACACACACACACACACACACACACACACACACACACACACACACACACACACACACACACGTACATACGCGCGCGCGCACGGCTCCCTCTTTTGCTCCCTTTCTTTTTTATTTAACTTGGCTACCAGATCGATTTCATTCTGCTCCTTCTTCTGGCTGCATCTTAACGAAGGGCGCCGCTGTTGGGGAGCAGCACAGCTTTGCTTTCAATTTAAATGCCGAAATACGGGCTCCGTCTGCTTTTCGCTTCTTTTTTGCCCCTTTTGCTGCTTAACTGCGCATCTTTCGCTTCTTTCGAAGGATCACTTTTTTTGTCGCGGAGGCTGTTGCCACTGTTGTTGATCAACGACTCACTTGTACGCCTCGGTTGCCCTTAGTTCTATGGCTTTGGAGCCTGGAATTCCGTTGCGAGCGCTGATATTTGCGATGCGATAAGTTCGACAAACGTCCGAAGAATAGCTAGGGATTGCTCCTCGTAGATCCGACTCGCGGGTTCGAACAGACCGTCGATCGTAGCCGAACTCAACGCCATTCCCCTTCGAAATCATTCTCGGCGATCCCAAGAAAATTCGCAAATTAGAAAAAAAAATATAAAGAAAAATCCTCATTCTCGATATCGTGCGCGTGCCAATCGTGGAATTACAACAGCAGGGAGTTTTCGAGAATGGAAGCTAGAAAAGAGATCACGTAGTCGACTGCACGAGAAAGGGAAGAGTAAGAAGAAGAGAAGGCGTGGGCTGAAAGAGAAAGAGAGAGAGAGAGAGAGACTGGCTTAATTTATTTCTTCCTAAACGCCCGCAGCGTGCATGCACCACGTGGGCCGATGATACGACTTTTGCCGAGCCCCTCTCGAGAAGAAGAAGAAATCACGCGAAATACGGGAATCTCACCGTATCGCGCGTCTTTTTTCCGTTTCGGAGAAAGCGCGGAGGAGGCGAAGTCGAGGCTGTTACGATCCGCTTGACTGTTTCGCTTTTCAATGGACAATCAAACGTATCGTCCAAGTGTTTCGCGCTCTCTGAAATTCACAAATTAACACGCTCCAACCTCGCGGTTACGCGAGAGAGGGAGAGAGAGAGAGATAGACGGGGGGTCGCATAAACGTGCGAAACAGTGGCAGCTGTGCAAACGTGACTCTCGGCCTTTCTCTCTCGTCATAATAAGAAATCTGGAATCAATGCGAGCCATTGTGGTGCGCGAGAATCGGCGCTGTTTTAAAAGAGCAGCGCGGCCGGAGCCAAACAAGCGATTATAACGATGACACCGAGTTGGCCGCCGTCCACCGGAATTTTCTCCCTCCCCCCTCCCTGCCCCGACGACAAAAACTCGACTGTCCGCGTGACAATGCGCGAAACGGTCTGGTAGGCGACGATCGCGCGATGCAGGCGCGGAGGTGGACGCACCCGAGGACTCTGACGTCGACGGCCGGCTTCTTTTCTCGGCGCGCGAGCCAGCCAAGTGTCGCGAGGCGCAGCAGCGGTTCTCGGAAGCAGGCGCAGCATCGCTCGGTGGGCTCGGGGGGCCGAAACAGGTGGATTAAAATGCGGTGGCCTCTGCCGAGCGACGGCGGCGAGTGCGCCGTAGAATGAGGAACGACTATTTTCGAAAACAGCTATAATGACGATCGGAAGTAGGCATACAAACGAAAACATCGAATAAATCACTGCGCGCGGATAAATTTTCGTCGTCTATTAGCGCGCCTGCGTGGAAGATGAAAAACGGGCTTGATTTACGATGCCTCGCAGAGAATTACAATTGTTAATTCGCCTTTTTGCTCGGCATTACATTTGCATTCTCGCTGAGAGTGATAAATATTTTTTCGGCATTCCGCGAGGTATGAAAGCACGATTATAGATAGAAATCAATTTAGCGGCTCTTCGGGTTACTCGGCCGAGCGGCGGGATGCGTTTGGGCTCTCAACGAGCACGAGGTCACTTCCGAGCAGGCTGCTACGGAAAGCAAGGAGATCCGAAAAGCAGGCAGAACAGAATGCGGATCCGGAAGCACGTGGAAAAATACGGTCCTGCGGCGAGATGAAAAATTCGTGCGTCACTGGGCGGCAGCAGGAAGGAAACCCGAATCTACGTCCGGAAGAAGAGACAAAAGAATAGATTTTCTCAGCCTAAATAGTTGTTGTCGTCGCAGTGTACGTTGAATCGTTTTCTCATGAATGGGCCTATGTTTAGTCAATGGCTGTGGCTGTTGCTGCTGTTGCTGCTGCTGCTGCTGCTGCTGCTGCTGCTGCTGCTGCTGCGAGTTTTGGCGGGCGTAGTCGCGGCAGCGCAAGAGACGGGAAACCGGAAGTCTATTTTCGTAGTCATCACCGATTTAGAATGCTTTATAGTTCATAGCACTGCCGCGTTCGTGCATTTAGCTGCGCGCTCCTGGCGGCGCGCAGCCTTTATTATTATGTTTTCCGCGATCGATACGACACCTGCGCGCGCGGCGTCATCGCCGCCTGCCAATGTTGCAGCGCTTATCGAGTGACGCGACCACGATGAAGTCACGAGTATATAATCTCGCGTGACTAAATGCTGCATTCCGAATGGCTTTGGCGACCGAAAAAAACCGCCCAAACTCATTCAGCAGCAATCGTAATACACTCGGCGAGTGTAAGAGAGGTCAGCTGAGTTTATGCAACGTTACCCCACACACTCACGCGCGCACGCACGCATTGCTAATAATAAAATTAAAAAAAACGCTTGATTGCATCGGCCGCGCGCGCAGCCCAATTAATAACCCGCCAGCATGTGCAATCGCATAGAAAACACGCAATTAGCGGCATCTCGCGAACTTCATCAAAGGAGGAAACTTTATAATAGCTCTCGACAGACAAGGAGAAAGAATGATAAATCGTTCCCTCGAATTCGATAAATATAAAACTGTACACGATAAACAAGATAACAATTGCAACGATGCCGTTGGACGAAGGTTTAGCAGGCACGAACAACTGCTAGGCGACGTCTAATCTTTCTAATCACGCGGACCATTCCAACTGCCGAATGTTGCGACTACTTTGTGAATACGTCGAAACACGACTGTCCCAGTCGGTCCGTTGGACGTACGTGAAAGTGAGTATTACGCGATGTGTCCACGTGAAAAAGAATCG